AAAAAAAAAATTAATTAATGAAATAAAACAAAATAATAAAACCACATTACAGAGAATATGATAAAAGTAAGCAAGGATTACATCATTGAAGACTCCATCATCGCTATAAAACAAAGTTGTTGGCAGGTGGGGGGCTAGGGGAGGGAAAGCATTAGGAGAAATACCTAATGTAAATGACAGGTTGATGGGTGCAGCAAACCACCATGGCACATGTATACCTATGTAACAAACCTGTACATTCTGCACATGTATCCCAGAACTTGAAGTACAAAAAAAGAAAAAAGCTGTTAAAGCCATCAAGCTCAAAACAATAAATTTCTGCTGGAGAAAACTGTGTCCAGATGTTTTGCAAGACTTCACAGGATTTACAACAAAAGCAATCAAGAAAATCATGAAAAAGATTGGGATATGACATGAAAAAGAGGTAGGGGTGAAGGGATTCAAGAGATGGGTCTTGGAGAAATTCAAGAGCTAACAGACACTATACTAGAGGAATTAATAGAAGACAACCTGATGAACATGAGTGCTTTAGCACCAGTACCAGAAGAGGAAGAAGACATAAAAAGCCAGAAAACAAACTGACATTGGACAATCTGGAAGAAGAGTTTTGATTATTCAGGATAATAATTTCAGTGCTCTTCTATGGTCTGGGCACTAAAACTAAGGCAAACAGTAAAAGAATTGGTGCCACATAGAAACATTTTTAGGGAAATGAAATAGCAAAAATGTCAGACACAAATTATGATGTATTTCCATAAAGTTACAATGAGTATGCCCCCAACTCCTCCCTCTCCTTCTCTCTTCTCTATCTCTTTCACATCTTCCACCTGAGACAGCAAGACCAGCCTCTCTTCCTCTTCCTACTCAGTCTACTCAATATGAAGATGATCACAATGAAGACACCTGATGATCCATTTCCATTTAGTGAACAGCAAAGATATTTTCTCTTCTTTATGATTTTCCTTCTTTCTTTTCTTTTCCTTTAAGACACAAGGTCCCACACTACCACTGAGGCTTACGTGCAGTGCAATTGCAACCGACCACAGCTTCGAAATCCTTGGCTCATGCAAAACAATGCTCTTGCCTCAGTCTCTTAAGGAGCTAGGATTATGGGTGTGCACTATCATGTCTGGCTTTTTTTTTTTTTTTATACAGACAGGGTCTCATTGTGTTGACCAGTCTGACCTCAAACTCCTGGCCTCCAAGTGATCCTCCCACTTTCGCCTCTCAAAATGCTGGGATTATGGGTGTTAGTTACCAGGCAATTATGGTCATAATTTTCTTAACATTTTCTTTCATATATCTTACTTTAACAATACAGTATATAATATACATAACATATAAAATTTGTGTTAATAGACTATTAACAGTAAGGCTCAGGTTAACAGTAGGCTATTAGCGGTTAAGTTTTGAAGGAGCAAAATCTAAAAGCTATACCTGGATTTTTGACTATGTGGCTCATCACCCCTAACACCCACATTGTTCAAGGGTCAACTCTACAGTGCAGGATAACATTTCCTAAATACAGTCTTCAGTCCTTATCAGGTGTGATTATGAGTGTCCCAATTAAACCCCTGCATGCAAATCTCAGTCTCAGTACCTCATGACCCAGAGAACCTGAGCTAGGAAACTATGGCATTCTGGCCAGGCACAGTGACTCATGCCTGTAAACCTAGTGCTTTGGGAGGCTAAGGTGGGAGGATTGCTTGAGGTCAGGAGTTTAAGACCAGCCTGGGCAACACAGTGAGACTCTGTCTCTATAAGGAAAAGAAATTAGCCAGGTATGGTGGTGCAGACCCGTAGTCTTAGCAACCTGGGAGCCTGAGGCAGGAAGGTTGCTTGAGCCCAGGAGCTCAAACCTGCAGTGAGGTTTGAGCTGCAAGCCATCACTCCAGCATGGGTAACAGTGTGTGGCTGGTTGAAAGCAAAAAACAAGAAAGAAGAAAGGAAAGAAAGGAAGAAGGAAGGGAGGGAGGGAGGAAGAAAGGAAAAGAAAAGAAAGAAAGAAGAAAAAGAAATAAAAATAGAAAGAAGGACAAAAAAATTGAAGAACATACAAAGAAATGGAAAGCTATCCCATGTTCATGAATTCTAAGAATATTTTAAAATTATTAAAATGTCCATACTACCAAAAGTGATCTATAAATTCAGCATAATCCCTATATCAAAACTCCAATGCTATTTTTCACAGATAAAAAGAAAAAAAACCCTTAAACTTTTAAACAACCACAAAAAACTCCAAAGAGCCAAAGCAGTATTGAGAAAGAACAAGGTAGAGGCATTATACTTTCTAATTTCAAACTATATTATAAAGGTACAGCATTCTAACAGTATAATACTGGCATAAAAACACACAGAGACCAATCAAACACAAGAGAGCTCAGAAATAAACATGCACATATATAACTAGCCTTTGACAAGGGCACAAAGAATATACAATGAAGAAAGGACAGGCTCACCAATAAATTCTGTCAGGAAAACTGCATAGTCACATTCAAAAGAATATGAAACTGGACCCTTATCTCATACTATATGCAAAGATAAACTCAAAATGGATCAAAGACTTAAATATATAATCTTAAATATATGATCTAAAACTATAAAACTCTAGGAAATAGGAAAAAAAAGCTCCATTACATTGATCTTGGCAATGATTTTTTTTTTTTGGATATGACACCAAAAGCCCAGGCAACAAATGGTGGGACTACATAACACTAAAAAATGGGACTATGTCCAACTAAGAAGTGTGGTCAGTCGTGGCGGCTCA